GTTGTTTACCCATATCTTCAGAAAAAAATCACTTCTGCTGTCATGGTAAACAACCTGCTTCCCTATTTATAATGGTCTGGCCCTCTAGCAACTTCAGCGCGAAATTATAGCTAATTTGCCTACAAACGTCAGGTGGTCATAATAATTTGGCCACTCAGTGTATAATGAGGCGATGGGTTTACAAAATCTTGCAGGATTTTTGGAGAGCACCAGCAAGGACACTCACAGTGACTCCCCGCACCCCCTCCCTCCTTCCCCCCACCACACATTGGGGGCACTTTTAAGAATTCTAATTCCCAGCACCACCCAGATCAATTCAATCAGGATCTTGGGGGCTGGAGCCCAGGCATCTATATTTTAGAATCCCACAGGATTCAATATGCAGTCAGTATTGAGAGGCAACGCTAGACCAATACTTCTCAAACTTGAAAGTCATAATGACCTTGTGGGGTGTTCCAGTGGAGGAGACTAAGAGAAAGAGTTTTGTTTCAGGGAAGTTCTGAATGAAGAATATTTATGTGAAGAACAGAAAAGGCTGGAAAATTCAGGGAAGAGACAGAAGACATGGCCAGGAGCACCAGGGTTTTTAAAAGGAGTCTGAGGGTGTTGGTGAAGAATTGGAGGTTTCAGAGGAAAGAGACTCTTCTTGTTGAAGGTTAGAGAACCTCACTGCTGGGTTTGCGGTTTCATTAGGGAGTCCCTACTGGTCCATTCCACTCACTGGGCTTAGGAGGTAAACCAAGTGCACAAGCTCAACACTAGAATTTCTCTAAAAGGCTCAAGCACATGACATTTGCATCTTCTGACTTTCAAACCACATGCTATTTGCATCTGATTTATAAATGCTGAGGCCAACTTTGTCAAGTGTCAGTATCTAGGGATGTTAGATCATGAATCTTTCTAAGCATTTTCTCCTCATGACTCTATGAAGTTCACATTATCAATCAATTGTGGCAAACCAATATAAAGAGTGATTAATTCATCCCTATATTGTCAGGGTTGGCAACAAATGGATAGACTCCCTGGTTATTGGAAACTTAATCTTCATCGCTTACCTGTCTGATACCAGCCTTGTTAGCCTGGCCAGCACATCACCAGGATTGCAAAATCTCCGACTGCTTGTGAAAACACAAACAGAGCTGCTGAATTTTCAAACAGCAAGACAAACCTGACCTCCCTCAGCGTGCCAACAGGTTCAGAAGTGCCTTTGACAATCATTCCCCAAGCTTGAGACAACTACATTTTTAAAAATGGGTTGTGTTCTTTTTTTAGTTACTAAAAAGTAATACTTTACCTGGTTTAAAATTTCTTTCAGGTCAGGAAATCCCTGAGGAGGGACGAGAAGTAGAGGAATTTTCAGAGGACGATGATGAGGGTGATTCTGATGACTCTGAAGCAGAAAAGCAGTCACAAAAGCAGCATAAAGAGGAATCTCTTTCTGATGGCACATCTGCTTCTTCACAGCAGCAAGCTCCCCCACAGTCTGTTCCCCTGTCTCAGATACAAGTACCTCCCATGCCAGGACCACCTCCTCTTGGACCACCTCCTGCTCCACCTTTACGGCCACCTGGACCACCTACGGGCCTTCCTCCTGGACCACCTCCAGGTAAGCATTTCCATATTATGAGTAAATAATTAAGTCCACATGTGGTTAGAGTGAAGTTACTCCAAAAAATATATCATTAGTATTGATGTTTTCTTATTTATCCTAGCGCAATTCCTTAAGAAATCAAGGATTCTCAAAGGATAGATAAGTGCAACTGGTTTATTCTTCCAGCATTGTTTGCAACTTAGTTTTCCTGATACCCATCTTTTTCTCCCAAGATCTTCCTTTTTCATCATTCTTTAGTTCTGATTCTAGCAGGCAGAATCTGGAGTATTTAACCAAGAGTTTATTTAATACTACTTTTTAATATGACAAGTTGGCCCCATTTAAAATTGGTAGCCAGTGGTACTAGAACACAGTAAATATTATCTTATATCCTTTGGTTTGGGGATTATTGGATGTCAGTGTAATCTTTATAGTTAGAGACGAAAGTGTTAACCAGGTCTTTGGCTTAAAAATATAAAAAGTTTATTTACAATATGAAACAATGTATAGGACTTCTTGACTTTTCATGATTTTATTCCTTCTCTACAGCCAATTAAGTTTTCTTCAATTGAGTTCATCTTTTTCCTGTGGTCCAAAGCAAAATGACCTATCTTATGTCATTCTCAGTGGTCCTTGTCTTTATCTTAATGAGTTTCAGGAGGTCATTAAAGCACTTTACTCTATAGTCCATTTTCAGCTCATGTTGGAACCATTTAAAAATTCTTCTCACCTTCATATGTTTCCAGCCCAACAGAGCTGTGATTGCGTATCCTTTTGGTCAGTGCTGGGAAATAAAGAGGTGATCCAAAAAAAATTCAGTACCCTGTCTCTGGTGCTCAGATATTTGTTGGATGAATTCTGCTTCCACACATTTCAATCAGTTTTTAAAGTTATCTGATTTCAGGTTAAAGTGATAAATCATACCACATTTGAGTTACCTTTATTTATATCATAGTTACTGCTTGATATATATTTGTTTGACATGAATTTATTTTTATCTTTTCAGGAGCTCCTCCGTTCCTGAGACCACCTGGAATGCCAGGACTCCGAGGGCCTTTACCCCGACTTTTACCTCCAGGACCACCATCAGGCCGACCCCCTGGCCCTCCTCCAGGTCCGCCTCCAGGTCTGCCTCCTGGCCCTCCTCCTCAGGGACCCCCACCAAGGTTACCTCCCCCTGCACCTCCAGGTATCCCTCCACCTCGTCCTGGCATGATGCACCCACCTTTGGTGCCTCCACTCGGACCTGCCCCACCTGGGCTTTTCCCACCAGCTCCCTTGCCAAACCCAGGAGTGTTAAGTGCTCCACCCAACTTGATCCAGCGACCCAAGGCGGATGACACCAGTGCAGCCACCATTGAGAAGAAAGCCACAGCAACCATCAGTGCCAAGCCACAAATCACTAATCCCAAGGCAGAGATTACTCGATTCGTGCCCACCGCACTGAGGGTCCGTCGGGAGAATAAAGGGGCTACTGCTGCTCCCCAGAGAAAGTCAGAGGATGATTCTGCTGTGCCTCTTGCCAAAGCAGCCCCCAAATCTGGTCCAACTGTTCCCGTCTCAGTACAAACTAAGGATGATGTATATGAAGCTTTTATGAAAGAAATGGAAGGGCTGCTGTGACAACTTTTGATGCCCGAACACACTTCTGTCCATATCACTGGTTCATGGGAAAAGAGGCTCTTAGGAAACTTAGGCAAAAGAGCTACTTTTATTGTCAGGGTATTTTCTAATTTCAGTTGAAGGAATATCTTAAAGTTTAGCCTTGTTTGGAATTCACTGCATACAAGAGAGGGTATTTCACTCAGGCTAGGTTGGTTACTGAAGCAGTTCTGCTGCAAACGTCCATTCCCTTTCATACCACCACTTCCGTCCCATTTCTTCCCCTCCAATCCTTTGGAACTTGTGATCTGGGGCATATTTGTTTTTGATTCTTTTGTGTGCTGTGGGCTCTGGAGTAGAGATTTTTTTTTGGGGGGGTGGGGGAGGAAGCAGTTTCTTTTGCTCCATCTTGCCTTTTGTGTTTTAATATTTTCTTGTAAACATTTTGTAATATTGTAGTGAAATGGATCACAACGTCATTTCCTAATACAAAGCAAGACATGTGGGAGCACTCTGATGTAGGGAACTGCAGTGTAGAAAGTTAAGTACTGGGAGAACCAAGATGGCGGCATAGGTAAACACTGGAAATTGCTGCCTCTCACAACTACTACAACTAAAAGACAAAACGGACATCATCCAGAACCACAGGAAGGCTGGCTGAGTGGAAATTCTACAACTAGAAGGAAAGAGAAAAGCACACTGAGACTCAGAGGAGGTGCGGAAGTGAAGTGCAGAGGTACAGAGGCCCACATGGCAAGGGCTGGCAACTGAGGATGCTGTTGTCTTATTCAATTGGTGCCGGAAGCTGGTCCATCCTTGCTGCTTGACACAGTCACTGCAGGGAAGAAACATCTGCACAGCATATATTTCAAGGGACCTGGCGTATATGGCATACTGTTCTTAATATGTTTGCTCACCTTCTTGGCGCTATGTGTCTTAACCAAGGTCTTGGAATGGAGATAAGAAACGCCCTAACCTTTGGAATAGAAATTGATAGGATTAAAATCAACTGGTATAAATACAGATGTCACAAGACAGTAAAAGACAGAACTTGGCTGGAGATCCTAACCAGAACTTGGCTAGAGATCCTGGCTAGGCTGCTGATCAACTGAACGCTGTCTCCGTGTCATTCCTTCTTATACCGACTCCGTCCACACCTTTGGGGACCCCTGGATCTGTTGGGGTTGGACCCCAACAAATCGGGAGGGAGTCTCAAGTTCCCAACATCTCTGAACTCCAGTTCAGGGCGAGTCTCTGGGGACCCAGACTCATATAGGGAGAAACTGAGCTGACTGGCAGAGAGTGGAACTCAAGGGCGGCTTTCTCTCAGAGGTGCTTGTTGCGATTATCGGGACACTGAGACGTGGGGCCTCTTAGGGTAGAACTGAGTGTCAGCCATAGCTGTTTGCCCCACCCTGTTAATCCCCAGAGACCCCGCCCCACCCAAGCTGTGGCTGAGGCTTTTGCATATAAAAGGCCTGGCCCTTTGCAATCTGAAAACTACCTAACAAATTGCTGCTGGGTCAGAGAGAAACAGAACTTCCAAAAGAAAGCCCAAGATTACAACTCTACTGTTGGCTGTAGCTGGAGCGCTGGCAAAATGGTGGTCATGGCGGGACTTTCAGGGCAGGAGTGGCCGGACCTTGTCTTTGATGAAGAAGACCTCCCCTAGGAGGAGGAAATTATGCGAAACCAGTTTTCGGTCAAATGCTGGCTCTGCTACACTGAGTTCAAGCAGGGGGCCCCGAAGCCCAGGCTCAAT